GTGAAATTGATAAAGAACCTTCGAATTCCATCAACTGTGGGCGAATTTCTTTAGTATCTGAGCGACTAGTCGTTTCTGAAGAAGGACTCTGTTCCATGCAATTAGTTATTCGGTTGAAACAATAAATTATACCTTGAATATAAACTATGGCGGGTCCTGCTCAGAGGAGTGTAGAATTGTCAGCGTCCAAACTGAGCGTCCAGAATTCTAGAGCTTATATGTAGCCTGTAAAAGAGTTTTTAATTAAGATATAGGTAAATAAAAGGTAAAGCTATCCATGTAACAGGCCATGGAATCCCATGGGGTAGTGAGACGTTGAAGCTCCCACATTTTCTAGACAATTGACTCACAGATAGCGATGAGGTTGTCAGCCTTACGCGCAGGCCGCCCTTTAACCTCAGCAAGATTTCTGGTATTCATTTCTGTTAGAGACTGAGTCGACGCGAGGGCCACAGTGCGGCTGGAAGGATTGGGTCAATTTAAAAATCCAGTAACTTCATCGGGAATCTAATCCGCGACCTTCCGGTTTGAAGTATAGTGCCTCAACCAACCACGATACCGCGGGCCCCACTAGAGATATAGGCTACCATGAAACAGTGTTGTGTCTAACACCGCACAAGGTACATCACTTAATGTGTTTTCGCGGTAGCGTAATTGCAGCACGTTGCTGTGATAAAGAGGTATTTGCAGTCTTTCAAATACTTCTAATCTGGCAAGCTTCCTCTTCTTTTGCCTTGTCAAGAAGCAGGTCCCTGTCTGGAGTGTCAGACTACGTGTGAAATGGCTGTAGGTCTAGTTGTACGTCACGTCCACGCCGGTTGCAGCATAAGCACGTAATGTTGTAAACTGATCTAAGTAATTTGGAGTCGTATGTAGAAGCAGAGCAGATCACAGTGGCCGCGCTGTCTATGGCATAAACTCTTTCGCCGTCTCAAACACTGGGATCGTGAGTTCGAATCCCACTCGCATGGATGTGTAGGTAGCGGCCTCGTGACGGGCTGACCACCGTCCTAGGAGTCCTACCGACTCTGTAGAGGATCATTAACCTGAAAAATAAGCCAAGGCCAAACAAAGGGCTGTAGAGCCCTAGACACAAGGGTAGATGCTGAGTGTGATGTACACACACATATTTTAGGTCTAATACTAGTACTAGCCGTAAAAGGTGAAAAAGGTAAAGCTATTCCTGTAACAGGCCATGGAGGCCCATAGGGTTGTGAGACGTCGAGGCTCTCACATTTTCTAGACAATCGGTTCACAGATGTCGGTGAGGCTGTCAGCTTTACGCGCTGGTCGTCTTTTAACCCCCAGCGACATTCTTAGTACTCATTTATGTTAGAGGCTGAGTCGACACCACGGCCATAGTGCGGCTGGAAGGATTAGGTCAATTGAAAAATTGAAAAACCTCAATGTGAATCGAATCTGCGACCTTCTGACTTGTAGTATAGTGG